TGGGCAATAGAATTTCCCGAACACTATGTCGCTTTTAACAAGTGACCAACGACGAACAAGCCACAGATAGAGAGTCCACCTCGCTGGAGCAGAAGGCATTCAAAAGCACTTTATGCCTAAAAGTCGTTAAAAAAATGTCGAGTTTGCTTTCTGCTGCCACCAGTGTAGCGACTCGAGACCTCCTGTCCGGTATAAGAAGTCAGTAAGTGGAGTTGGATACATGTATTCCGGAGACGACAGGGCAAATGGGGCCTGGGCATGGCCCGAAGGCCAGCTTACTTGTACAAGGGCCTGACAAATCCTAAAGTGACCGCCAAACGTCATATGGTCACACTAAGAGAGCACAACAATGATGGCCTATCTCGTCGAAGTTCTCTTTATTGGGAATACAAAATTGGTATTAGCATTACTCGCTTACTCATCTTCCGTGACATAAAAATTTGTCCCATGGATTAACCTTTGAACCCTATTAACCCTTTAATTTTATCACCTTTACTGATTGCTACAGCGTCTTGAGACTTCTCATAGGGTAGAAGAAAGCAGTAAGTGAAACTGGGTAAATGTATTCCGAAGAAGACAAAACAACCGCTCCTGAGCGTGACACTAAGTCCTGTCCACGAGTACAGGGCCTGACAAATCCTAAAGTGATCGTTGAACCTTAGGGTCACAAAAAAGAAGTATTACAACTCTACACATGTTTTGCTCAGGTGACATGACTTTTGTTATCTTTGAAGGCGCCTTGAGCCACCGTAATAACGAGTACCAATGTGTGAAAACAGGTAAAATTTTCTTGGCACCATGCCCAATATGTAAATAGCTTAGCACTGATTCAGTAAAAATCGACAATTATTTTTAAGGTGCTTTTTTAAATAAATTTTCACAACATCACTGCTTTTAAGAATTGTTGCGCAATGAAAGCGTTTAATGTTGTTTCTGCATCCTACGTTAAAAAAAGAATTACAAAAAGAAATTATTTTAACGAAATTTAACCATGCGAATATGGCAAGTGCTGACATTGTTTTGGTCCTCAGATATTGTATTCTTAAATGTTCTCCGCTTTGTTTGGGATCTCGCTTTTACTTGGTGTACTTGGCAGTGCATCTTTTAAAATAAACAAGATGAGTCCCGACTAGTAGGTTTTTGGCCTATATTTTGGTCAAAATCTTATTACGATCTGTTAAAATGGACTAATTTGTTATTTTAGTGACTATCTTTTCAAGCTCCTCCTTATTGGTGACTCAGGGGTTGGAAAATCCTGCCTTCTACTGCGATTTTCTGTATGATTGTGACGTCACCTTATTTCCCTGTTTAGGATGACAGCTTTGTAGACACCTACATTAGCACTATTGGTGTAGATTTTGTAGGAA